TATACCTCCTGCAGATCCTGTTGCAGTGCAAGAAAGGAATGATGCCGTATTAAAAACAAATAAATAGCAACAGGACTGCTAGTAGCAGTTCCTGGTTTTACATACTAGTGTTACTACTATTGAGTGTTTTAAAGAATAACATCTCCTTGCACAGGAAATTGATACTTGATACTGCTTCTGATAATGTCAGAGTGGGTGTTTGAGTAAATGGGTTTAGCATGCTATAAAGTGAGTGACTAAGTGAAATTTCTTAGGTAAATGGGTATGATCAGTAATGCTGATCACTAGAGCAAAAGAATACGCAGCAAATGGGAAAGTAAGCACAGTAACAGAGGCAGGGATTTCACCTAAAAGTTGGTGATGGACAGAAATACCCAGCACAGATCAGAGAGTGAGTTCCTCAGTGAAAAGGACTAATACCTGATGTAAATGGCATCTAAATAAAGCCTTTGACCTTGCTAAAAATGAAGAATAAAAATGAATGGGCTTTCAGCTCTTGGAAGAAGGCAGGGAGTGGGCAGGCACAGAGCTCAGGGCAGTCCGGGCAGTGCTCCCGCCGCTCGCCGGGATGTGGTGCATGAGAGCCAGCGATGGAGCCTGGCTTGTGTGCGCAACAGGGACATTGCAACGAGCAGCTCATCGTGTGTTAGTGTAATGCTAACTCACTGGGGCAGCTCTGGGCACACTCCTCAGAAGCCACTAATGACATTGCAGTTGTGTAACTTGAACAGTCTCTGTTCTAGCTCAGACTGCCAAGAATACTGCAACCCAAAAAGCCTGTTACGCAACTGCGAGAGAGAAACTTGTGCTGCTGCAGACAGCCACATCTTGACAATTAGATTTTTGTCCAGACTGGCTTTTCGGGTCATTTTTTATTTTAACAGGACTGTGGTTTTCCCATATAGACTTCTTCAGTGTAGCAAAGCGATTTATTTTACCAGGAAGCTGAGCACAGTATTACGGTATAACGGCATCTGTAATTCACCTTCTATTTATCTGCACCTTTCTGAGTAATGAAGCTGTTGACAGCTTTCCAGAAGGTCTAAGATCCACTGCAAAATTATAATCAAGCTAGGTGCTCTTTGGAGAAGAGAAGAAAGAAATTTTTCTGTACCGCGTGTTTGTGTGGACCTATAACAGGAAGAAGACACTGAAGAGAACTCATGTATCGCTTGCTTCAGTCCTGTGCAATCACAGGATGTCATATTGTCCTTTTAAGAATTAGATCACGTTCTATTTTAAAATGCATAGAACTTTTTTCTCTCCCCCTCTGCTGCTATTTTTGTGGAAAGAGTGTTCCAGAAGTCTGCTTGCTATAAAAACCATCTTCTCCTTTCTGCCCTCAATTTATGCTTGACCATAATTGATGAAAGACTAGACAAATTACATCATTAATTGTTTATTCTCATTTGTGGTATGCCGTTTATGTGACTGTCATCTTAGTAAACTTCAGTTGTTGAATTACTGACTTTAAAAGACTGAGAAGAATATGTGAGATCTTGAAATTTGAATGGAAATTTGTTGATATCCAAGGGATATTTTGGGTTGGTTTTTTGGATGCTGGTAATGCTCAATTTCAGAAACTGAGTAACCTTTCTCTTTCTTGAGATGAAGATGAGGTCCTTGTCAACACGGGAGAGCACTCACTGACTGCTAACTGTGCTTGGTAATTTACCTGCAGGCACCATAAAATCCATTATGTCTTCAAATATTGATCTTACATTTGATTTGGAGTGTAAGATATCACTTGAACTATTGAGGAAAGTTGTAGGTTTTCTCTGGGAATTAACTATGAGTAATTAAAAGAGATTTTCTGGTTCAAAAGGAGACAGCAGAAGACTGCTCAAAGGGAGGCGATTGAAAGGGAGGGAGGTTATTAGTGACATCCACAAAGCATAGTCTAGGGACCAATTTTTTAAACGTCTGCAGCACAAAAAGAAGAGCCCAGCTATTCATTTGGGAAATGAGGATGACAATTTCTGCATAACGTGGCTGGTTACAGCAGTTGTTAGACAGAAGTAGCTCCTGGAGCAAACCCAAAGAAGTAGCATTCTTGAACCAGATGCTGAGCTCCAGAGTCAGGCTCTTGCTTTCTTCTTCTCTCCCTTGATTTTTGAATTTATTACTGAAAAATGGTCTTTTCTCAAACAAAGCTTGACTCTGGGTAAAGATCTAGAATCTACCTCATTTTTTGTGCAGGTGTTGTACCAGCTAAGCTAGAGGAAAGTATTTCCATGTATGTTTCCAAGTCAATGTGTCCCCAGTTGCTCTGAAATTTTTCTGCGCTCACTGTTCTGATTATTTTCTTAAGAGACATTTCAGTGTATTTTGCCTATTTTCCAGGTTCCTGCTGAGCTTATGTAGGAAACAGACAGAGAGTTCTTGAGGCACAGGGAACTCTACTGACTCTGAGGGAGAACTTCATGTAGCTTAGAAGCTTTCAGGTGAAAGTGAAAGCTGCTTTCAGGGTTAATGGCTGCTAAGCATGGCTAATGTAGCTCACAGTTTTGAGTTCAGCACCTCAGGACAAACTAAATCCTGGTTTAGATACCTAAAGTCTACTTTGGATCTGGACCAAATGCTTTATGTTTGGAGAAATGTTGTGGAGAATATAGGTGCTTCTGAGTTCAGCATGCAGATTCTTAAACTTGATTAGAATGAAAAAAGCAAGAATCTTATGTATAAATTAGTGTTAAAACATATTCAGAATGAGATCTAAGCCTAAAAAAATCAAGGAAATCCTGGGGTAGGACTATTACATCAATCTTTCTGTCTTCCTCCACCATACTCAAACTCCCTTTCTCCCAACAAATATGAATGTCTCTGTATCTGCCACTGGGGTTTATTATCTTCACGTGGAACAGTTTACTATCATTATTATCATATACCAATATATACAGTTAAAAAGATGTTGTTTCTGTTATGTTTTTGACTGATCAGAGCCTGATTAGTTAACGTTCTGAGCCTGCTGTGAACCTTGCTTAGTTTTCAGTAACATGTCTGGAGACCACTGGCCTTGATGCTGTGGGTTGCTGTAGCTGTACTGCTTCTCATGCTCTTTCATTTTTCTTGCCATTTGGAACATGTATTATTTTAGATGAGATAGTTTGGGGTAGTTTAATTTTTTTAATATAATATTGTGAAAACACTTAAATCTTGGTTATTGCTTCCAGCATCCCAAAATAGCATTCTAAATAGATACTATAATACTGTACTTTATTTTCTATTATTTATCTAACAAGCCACCCATGGTTTGTAAATTCCATCAAACAATGTCTGCATTGTGAAAAAGAATAACTATTGGTGTCTGTTTTAAAAGTTATTCTGTTTGCTTAGTGGGGCTACATATACATTTGAAAACAGCCAACCAAGTTAGGATGAGCTAATGCTTTTTAGTGCTTCTTTTCTTCATCTTCCAAACTGTTCTTTCCCTCTAAAATACAGAAGTATTTCTAGAAAGATGAGGAGCTTTGTCCTGAGTAGGAATCTTGGCCTCTGAACACCAAACACTCATCTCAGCATTTTGTTACAGGAAACAGCAATTTTCTGTGTGGGACTGGCGAAAGAGGATAAATCATAAATAAATTAACACCTTTCAGTTTTTTACACATTTGTGTGCCCTATGCATATTTGATGTAAATATATAAATTATCGTTGTGAGACTAGATCCAAAAAAATCAAAGAGCAGTTAAGAATCTCTCTTTTCAAAAGTATTGACAGGTGAGGACCTGAGTATCTGTTTCTTAAATACAGAGTAAACAAACATTTTAATGTCTGGCCTGTGACTTTCAAAATGAAGCATATTAAAGAAGTTGATGTTTTTCAACTATGTAGTCATTGCAATATTTTAGCATTTGAAACTACTTTAATGACTATCAATTGTGTAGCATGTTGCACTTTACTAGACTCACAAGAACTAAATATAACACTCAGATTCCCAGGAACTCATAAAAGATCCTTATTTTGTGCAGAAGAAGGCATTTTTAAAGTGTCTTAAAGCACAAATGTTTGACTTGTAGTTCTGTGTGTGATAAGTTATTACTACTATGTGTGCACAGTTACTAGATCTGTGCATGGTATCACAGCAATATAGATCCCCATTGTTAAGTACTTTCCATGCATTTAAAATAGGATTAATGGATTGTTTGCACGGCAGGTTCTATTTCCAATTTGGAGTTTAAATCTGCAGGTATGTGCTGTTTACAGCTGAGGCAGTCACTTGTTGATCTTTGCAAGAATTTACATTTAAATTTATCAATACTGGAAATGTTTAACTTGCAAATGACTCAGGTCTTTACAGTAGTGTTTAAAAATGAGGTAGGTAGTTTTTATGTTTGTATTATTATTAAAAATATTATGCATTTTAGGAGTGTTTGCCACTTCGGCAATAAGGAATGTATGTGTAAAGTTGACACTGTTGTTCAAAGCAAAAGAAAGCAGAGTCCCATCTTTTTTATTTGTCTCATACAGGCTCCTACACAGTAGCAGGAGAAGCAATGTATATTTACAAATAGAGAAAAAAGGAATATGAAAACTCAGATTTAATATTTGATAGTTTATTCAACCCCGTTATCACCATGGGATTAATGTAATCAAAATGACTGTCCCACCATAAGAGTTTGTGGACTAGAAGTGATTAGGTACATTCTGAAATTTATGTTTGTGTTTATATTTTAGTTAGTGGTTTAGGCTATGAAATTTTGGCCCTGGGGTTAAACCTAAAAGTTTTCAAACCAAGAAATCCATGGCTAAAAAATGTTTGGTGGGAGGGAATAACGTAATTACACACAGGTTTTTGATAAACAGCCTAAATTGTACTTCAAAGGACAGATGTGTCCTTAATAATCTGAACCATTTGCATTTTCAGATTAAACCCTTCTTGATTGCATTGTACTTGATACATATACTTAAATCTATATGTTAAATGTTACACTTTGATATAGAGCATATTGTTTGACTTTGTTCTTATGATCTGACAAGCTTCATTATATAATAAACTAGTTTAAATAAATCTTAAAGACATAAAAGTGTTCTTGACACTAAAAAAAAATTTGAAGCACATAAATGATATATTGGTTAGATGTTCCAGAGAGAGTCAAAGCTTTTTTTCATTCAGATCTTTGAACATGTGTTTTGAATAAAGCTGTAAGGCATTTTCCAGTAACCAGTGTTGTATTACAAAAATGAGTAAAGTAAAACAAAAGGAAAACATGTTTCAACATTTTATTCAGTATTGTCACACATTGTTGCACATTTCCAGCTGGAAGTAAATGTGACATTTGTAATGCTAATTTTTCAAACCTAACCTTTTATAACATGTAAAATATTACTTGGGATGGTGTGCCCTTGTGAAAAGAGCAGGAGTAATGAAGTACTCGATCAGGGTTCAATTGGATTCCTAATGGCTTGAGTGCAATTACACTGCCAGTTGGTTGCAATCAATCAAAACCATTTTTGAATTGTTCTCTTAAACTGTATCTAGTGTTAATTGCTGATAAGCAGGTTACAGAGCACTTGACCTGATACAGTAGCAGTGCGTGTGTCTCACAAAAAACAAGTGATGCTGCTTGTTCGCCCCACATGGGAAAGACCCCCTGATTTGTTAATACAGAAGAACACACTGTGGCTTTGCTCCATAGTATGTGTGATGGAAAAATGTGAATGTAAGAGTAATGCAGCAGCATGTAAGGAAAATGCAGTATGTAATTTTAGTGTTAGGTATGTAATACTGTTAATTGTGGGCTACAGATATATTAACTAACTAAAAAAAAAATAACTCATTGAGTTGCTCCCCATTTTCATCTATCATAATGACAAATTGCCAGGCTGTGTTGACTCAGAGAGGGAAAGCAGAGGAGAAGCAAGAAGGGAAAAAGCACATGCAAGCAATTCGGATATTAAAAAAATGGCAAATTAAAAAAAAAAAAAAAAAGAGAAAAAAATTTTACAATTAAGCTATAATGGAATTTATGGAAAGATGGATATAATTTATTTTGGTTTTATTTGTCCAGGGCCATAACATGTTAGCCTGGGAATATAATCTAAACCATACCGCATTCAATGTTGCTAATGGGACATTTATGCTAATGAGACTTATTACCGTACTTCAGGATAGGAAAAATATGCTCTTATGTTTCATTGCAAGTCATTCCTCTGAAAATGAAAGCTAATTAAATATTTTTTACTGTTAGTTTAAGTACACCTGTAGACCTTTAATCCATGTTGAAAACTGTAGAAATCAGCAAATGTGGTACTTGAAGCAAGGCTGACAGTCCCAGGAGACTCAGTACCTCTTCACTAGCCAGTACCAAATTTCTACCTCACTACACCTCAGCAGGTGACATTTTGCTATGAGTGTGCAGTACAAAAGTGTTTCACTATTTGTGTTTGATCCCACTATTCCCCCCCTGACTCTGGTAGTGTAAATGCTGTGCAATTGTAGCAAGACAAGGTGGGTGCCCATGTGCTTTTTTTACAAGCTGGGTTAATGCTTACATTTAAAAGTTGTTCCAGTTAAAGTCAGCAACAATAATTACATTCATCTCACTCCAAGAATATCTGCTTGTTTCCTGAACAAGTTATTTATTAAATATATTTAATGATGAAAAATCAGTAAGGATTCACTCTGTAACTGTACTCCTTAAACACATCCCAAGCATCACCAGGTAAGTTTGTTGCTTAAAATATTGGCTTCTTCAATATTTAGCCTGCACCTCTACTTCAGATTCTCAGCTTGGCAGGTGTATAGATCAAGTCCTCATTTTTTCAGAAACTAAAACAAGCACAGTTTCATTGCACAGTGAAAACTTGCAGCTAGAAAAGGAAAAGCAGAAAGGAGGATTTTTTTTTTTTTTTAAAAACCAAAACCAGTTAAGGACAAAACATACTTCCAGATGGTCTCTCTTATATTGTACTGCTTTATATACAGGGCCATCTGTAACTCTTTAGTTAATTTCCACTGGTCTAATTCTGTACTTGCATGTATGTTTCTAGAATAGATTTGACCAAAATATGGGGCTTTTATGTACTGTTTGTGGGATATTTTCAGAGTAATATATAACAGACCTTGGCTGCTCTGCCCTTTGTGTAGATACAGAATGCCAAAGGGTAGGGGAATGGCCTCCTCTCATATCTTACCCGATTCTTTGGAGGCTTCTTAAGTCAAATGAGTGCAACAAGAAGTTTGTCACGTGTACATACAGTGGGAAGCTCTGCATGCTCATTTGAATCCCCAGTATTTGTAATGAACATGCTTTATATGAGTGTTTAAAACCTCTATCCATTTACTGCATTTAAAAATACCTCTACTCTCTTTTCCCAAAGAGAGTCATTTAGAGCTTTCAAGATAATGGTGGGAAAATTTTGTGCAGAGGCATTGATGTAATGACATCAGCATTTTTTCTCTTCATGTGCCAGTTTTCAAAAGACTTGAAATTGCAGAGTGAATTTTTGGTCCATTCATTTTTACTTGACTATGTTGAAAAAAAGGGAGCAAGCATGAAAACATCAACTTGTTTGAAGTGTTTGTCAGTCATATTTTATTTTTAAAATGTCTTCTCACTTCATATAACTTAGATTGTAAAGTAAAAAACAAGTAAGAAATATATCAAAGTAATCCAGTCTGTTAAAATGGCCTTAATGTAGACAATGCTTTCTGCATTTGAAATATTTTTGAATATTTGTTCTCTATAAGCTATATAGAGCAAAGTAATTAGTTCTGTTACCTCATATATTCAGATTTCACTATCAAACTTTTATTTCTTACTGTGTTTTTAAATGTATTTTACTTGTAATGGCTTCCTTTCTTGAATTTAGGAACTTTATGCAGTTCTCTGTCTGAGCCTTAGACATGCAAAGAAATAGGTAACCTTTTTGTCTCTGACATCATTTTTCTTTCTTCTTTTTGTGAGACTAACATTTAAAAGAACAGTAACATTGCAGTTGACTCTGTCTCCTTGTAGGTCTTTCATAACGGGTGCTTTCAGGCAATGAAAACCACAGAGCATATGGATCAAAAAGAATGGGATTCAGGTGATGAAAGCAATTGTTTCTTGTTGCCTGTCTTGATTTTCTTTTTAGTTTGTGCCGAAAGGTTGAGGTTGAAGTCAGATGATAAATTTCCAAGGTCCTTGGATGGTTTAACCATCCTCATGTTCTTGGAAAAGATAGCTGAATCCATTTTCATACTAGTTTCAGCTGGAGATTTTAGTTTTTCTTGCTGGGAAATCCCGTAATTTCTTTCCATGTAAATAGTGATAGTGAACAACAAATGTTGCTCTGATCTTCTCACTTGGATTTAAGGGGTTTTCCTCATTAACTAAGCTTGGGAATAACAAAAATCTGATGTGTCTGTTGCCAGAGGATGATTGTTACATATATTCCAGTTTATGGCAAACACTGCTGGTCAGAAATAAGTGTCTGTGCCTGAAAAATAGTTCTAACCTCACTGTGGACCTAGATACCTTCAATGGAAGACAGCAGTCGCAACACATTGGGCCATCCTAGTGCTGCTGTGCTACTTTGGTGTTTCATCTACCTGACAATATATCAAGTGGAAAGGGTTGTTTGCTTTTTTAATTCAGCAGTTTCTGTAAAGTGCTCTCTGCAATCCACTACTGCTCTGCTGTTTTAAAACTAATTACAGAAGTGTAGGCATCAGCTATCATGAAGAGGGAGGATAGGGAGAGTTGGTAGGGGGCTCTGGAAAGAGTGGTGAGCATGGCTTTAGCTGGGACATTTTTCTGGCTGCCAGAGTAAGAGAGCAGGTGTTGGCATTTATGTTCCATCTGTGTAAATTGACAGTGGGTATCTGTTTGGTTAGTTGTTCATATGATCTAATTCTGTGCAACATTTGAGCACCTACATGATGCAAAGCACAGAGGGGCAGGCCACTCCTGCAGTCCTGTGGGATGATGTTGCCCTTGGCTGCTGCTGAATCTGTCTTACCAGGAAGTCAGTAAGGATGCCAGCATGTTCCTCTTTTTCTCTTCACTGTGTTGTTCTTCATGCTTTTCTTCCTACCTCTCAAAAGAAAGAAATAAATATCTGTGTTGGCTGCAGCCCTGTAACAACTTTCCCTCAAAGTGATAGGCAATATAAATGGCAAAATGATATTGTTCAGAATTACGCATCTCAGACAGGCTGCTATAAATTCACCGACATTGTAATCACAGATACTGAAAATAGAAGGATAAACTTTCTTTCCAAATGAGGAGTTTGCTGTGTTTTTTCTGCTCTTCTTAAGTTAGTTGTCTTACAGTCATCAGGGTGTTATTTGAGAGCCTCCAACTATCAATTAAATGTGACTTTCAGTCTCTTCTAGAACCTTATGGTATTTTATTAAAACATTCAGTCTGTCTTCTTCAGCTTATTTTATTTCAGGATTTCATAATTTTGGAAAATAGGCAGTCTAATCTAGTCTATACATCTTTCTGCAACATCTACTGGAATGACATAGTAAAAAGAGCTGTGAGTCCTAAGAGTACTGGCACACAGCTCTTACCAGTGGGGAAATTTTATTGGAAAGAAAGGAAAGAAAAACCCCAAAGAAGGCAACATACTGTTGCTGTCACAACCCACTTCCAGAGCCAGGTTTGATTGTGGATTCATCTTGCTTTATCTTTCAAAAACACAATTGTATTTGATATCATTAATATTTAGTTTCCAGAAATTTACAGTGTTTTCTTTCTGCTTCTCTGTGGGAACACCAGAGTAAGTCAATGGCATTCAAAATCTTATTGTACATCTACAATGCATGTTGTTCAAAATACATCCAGTATACAGCTGATGTGGCATTTGAAGATGTCATTTGAAGTTTGTTAGTTGGCCTGGGAAATATTTAGGTAATAAACTTGTATAGACTTTACTTTGTAAAGTAATAAATAGTTGATAAAAAAGTAATGGTCTGTAGGCTCAGTGCATTCCTAAGTGCCCCAAAATTCATTGATTAAATCCTCAAATGAACCTAACATTAATTGTGACAACTTGCATCACTAATGTA